TTGTAACAACGCACTGGATGACCAAGGGGCAAAAATTGTCCAATTATTTCATAATCAAGGTCAGCTATTTGTATGGAAAATGACCACTTTAGAGAAAGGTTTGTGCAAATATCTATTTTAATTCAAAAGGGCATGTCGAGAGACGGGCGAGCTTGGCGGAGTAGTCGGCCTGTAGTTTAACATTGTCGTTCGTCACGACAGGTGTGCAGTCCCTGATATCCACACCCAGCATTTTTAGGTAATTATAGCGGTTCATTATTCTAAGACAATGACAAATCATATCCTTGACATATACCGCTCCTAGTAATTGAAGAAGCATTTGAACCTTTTGTAGCAGGTTCTGTAGCATTCAAAATATCTGTATGGAGCAGCCGCTGACGCTTTTGGAGAAGATGTTAATGAAAAAAAAAAGTGATTGCATATCTAAATGATTTTGTCTGTGATAATGATTGCCAGTTCCCCTTTGATACTGTAGCTTATTACTTACCCCATTTTGTGCTCAAAATAAATAGGATGCAAAAGGAACATATAGCTTTTTTTTTTTTAAGTAAGGCTCTAGTCACAGTGGGGTAATTAAAAATGCGGACTAAAAATGGTTGAAAATTAAATCATAGCCCAACCCTTCAGTTGCGATAAAGCCTCCCTTCCATCCCCGTTCTACACTCGGTAGTTTAATTGGCCTGTAAATATAATTTCTGCAAATTGCCAGCGAAAACCAGCATATCCACTACACCAATAAAAACGCGTCCTCCAAGTCTTATGAACTTGCCAAACTCAAAGCTCTAATATCATGAACTACAAAAACAACCACTGACAAATACTATGCAAGCCTACACTTGTGCTTTCAATGTGACACTGCTATTCAGCGACGTTGGAACTAAAGTGAAATCAAAGTTTGCTGCTCGTTTATTCAACGGCTGCACAAGAACTACCGCATTTATTCAAAAATAGAGACCCATTTTTTTTTATTATCTTTTTTTGTGTCTGTTTCCTTTTTTTTAGTTATTATTGGAGATTAATCTGCAATGAAAGACAAAGAAGGACGATCTGTAATAATCCTGAGAATGAATTCCGTGCCTATTGCGCTAACCCTGTAGCAGGTGAGCCGCTGCTCCTTGCACTCCGCTGCAAAGCGATGAAGCCCGACGCATGCACGCTGTTGTGTGGTGAAATCCAGTGACGGTAGCGGCGCAAGTGCCACAGTACTCTGCAGTCACGGCACGAGGGCATGTGTCAGACATGATAATCGAGTGATTTCACCAGGAGCACAAGATCCTGGTTCTGTCTTATCAGTATACCACCATCTTGCTTTTTTGCAAACTTTACTTGAGACTTTTAATTCCTGACCTCGCAGACATCGTCTGGTAATTTAGACAATGTCGACTATCAGCTGGCCAGCGCATCAACCGGCCAGAGCGATTGACGAACAATCCCTATCCAGGTAGCACGCCCGAGGAATGCCCAACTTGGGCAAAGGTCTGGCAAGCATAAGTGCCCAACTTTGGCGCAGTTAGGTTTTGCACCATGGCACTCATCAGTGCCGAAGTACGGTGCCTAACTATAGCCTTAGTTAGGCGATCCTAGTTCATGCCAAAGTTTGGCTCTTCTCTGGTACGCCAGAGGAGCGCCAAAGTTGGTGCCATACTTGAGCCATAACTGCCACAGTAAATCTTAAGCTGGGAATTCGGGGCATGCCTAGGTTTGGCGTTTCTCTGGTATGCCACAGGGGTGCCGAAGTAGTGCCGTTCTTGAGCCATAACTGCCAGAGCAATGCCTAATTTGGGTTTTTGGGACATGCCAACGTTTGGCTTTTCTCTGGTCCGCCACAGGAGTGCCGAAGTAGTGCCATACTTGAGCCATAACTGCCAGAACAACGCCTAATTTGGGTATTTTGGACATGCCAAAGTTTGGCTTTTCTCTGGTACGCCACAGGAGTGCCGAAGTAGTGCCATACTTGAGCCATAACACTCAGAGCAACGCGTAATTTGGGTATTTCGGACATGCCAAAGTTTGGCGTGGCTCTGGTCCGCCAGAGGAGCGCCAACGTTGGTGGATGCCATACTTGAGCCATAACAGCCATACTAAATCCTAATTTGGGAATTCAGGGCATACCAAAGTTTGGCGTTGCTCTGGTCCGCCAGAGTAGCGTCAAAGTTGGTGCCATACCTCAGCCATAGCTGCCACAGTAAATCCTAATTTGGGAATTCGGCCCAGGTACCACGCCAGAGAAATGCCCAACTTGGGCAAAGGTCCGGCCAACGTAAGGGCCCAACTTTGGCCCAGTTAGGTTTTGCACCACGGCGTTCATCAGTGCCAAAGTACGTTGCCTAACTATAGCCCAAGTTGGCCGATACTAGGGCATGCCAAAGTTTGGCTTTTCTATGGTCCGCCAGAGGAGTGCCGAAGTAGTGCCATACTTGAGCCATAACCGCCAGAGCAACGCCTAATTTGGGTATTTCGGACATGCCAAAGCTTGGCTTTTCTCTGGCCCGCCACAGGAGTGCCGAAGTAAGTGCCATACTGGAGCCATAACTGGCAGAGCAACGCATAATTTGGGTATTTCGGACATGCCAAAGTTTGGCTTTTCTCTTGTCCGCCACAAGAATGCCGAAGTAAGTGCCATACTGGAGCCATAACTGCCAAAAAGACGCCTAATTTGGGTATTTCGGACATGCCAAAGTGTGGCTTTTCTCTGGTCCGCCACAAGAATGAAGAAGTAAGTGCCATACTGGAGCCATAACTGCTAAAGCAACACCAAATTTGGGTATTTCGGACATGCCAAAGTTTAGCTTTTCTCTGGCCCGCCACAGGAGTGCCGAAGTAGTGCCATACTGGAGCCATAACTGCCAAAACCAGCGCCTAATTTGTGTATTTCGGACATGCCAAAGTTTAGCTTTTCTCTGGCCCGCCACAGGAGTGCCGAAGTAAGTGCCATACTGGAGCCATAACTGCCAAAGAGACGCCTAATTTGGGTATTTCGGACATGCCAAAGTTTGGCTTTTCTCTGGTCCGCCACAAGAATGCTGAAGTAAGTGCCATACTGGAGCCATTACTGCCAAAGCAACACCAAATTCGGGTATTTCGGATAAGCCAAAATTTCCCTTTTCTCTGGTTCGCCACAGTTATGCCAAAGTAAGTGCCAGACTTCAGCCATAACTGCCGAAGTAAATCCTAAGTTGGGAATTCGGGGCATGCCGAAGTTTGGCTATTCTCTGGCTAGCCACTGGAGTCACAAAGAAGTGACAAAGAAAGCTCAGAGGCCTGCCGAAGTTTGGAATTTCTCAGGTGTGCAACAAAATTAAATAAGCGTTGGAAACACGATGGTCAGATCTCACCATCTGCGTTCCCACGCAGCACGGCGATACAGGGCAGTGTAGTGCCAGTACCGGCTGAAAGTCGGTTCCAATATCGTTCAAATGTCTAGTTTCGCACCACCGTTCAATATCAGGCAGGTATTGTATCACCGTTCAGTATCAGGCAGGTATTGTATCACCGCTCAATATCAGGCAGGTATTGTATCACCGTTCAATATCAGGCAGTTATTGTATTACCGTTCAATATCAGGCAGGTATTGTATCACCGTTCAATATCGGGCAGGTATTGTATAAATCGGGCAAAACAGTCGTTTTGCCCCGATCTAGTGTTCGCGCAATATCGTGCGAATACTGTACGATGCGTCAGCTCCGTAATGACCGCACGTCGTTCAAGTCTGTGTTGTGTAGGACGTTGCATATCATTTGTCGCATATCAATAACATACACGGACGAATGAAATTTTTTCGAACGCTCCCAGAAGTTTATTAAATCACTATCATTGCACACAACGTACTCTAGACATCTTTACAAAGGTCATACTTCTCTGTAAATTGAAACGCAAGTGATAAAATATAATAAACACTTATTTCATGCCAAGCGACACTCATAAATTAAAACACAAAAAACCGTGAAGATTGAGAAGAAAGCAGAACTACTTCAAGAAGCATACTTGCAGTGTACTCACTAATAGAAGCGATATCATGTGATCCTTGATCGATGCATAATCCGACTCAGGCAGCCCGAAAACACAGTCGAGACAGAAGGTTGCGCACAATCAACTGACTTTTTGTCGTCGGCAAGGAGCAGTTTTTGTCGAAGCGCGTCCAACAAACACAGCACAAGGATTCCACGAACGTATTTCGGCCGTTTACAACCAAAAAGCACGGCCGCGTCTGCAACGCACAAAAACAACAGAACACTGAAGAGCCCATTTCGGAAACCGGACCTACGTGGCCCGCCTATTTCTATAACTTGTACTATTTGAGCGTGTTGGTGCTTTTTAAACATTTAGAAAGTGGAGACAGATAAGGGACGATACAGACAGGACAATCTTTCAACTTCAAGAACATTTATTTTCGGCTTCAAGCTCAAAGCCCGCCCGCTCCGTGGGAGTACGGGAAAGGGAAATCATGGGGGAAGGAGAGGAAGTGAGGGGGTTGCCGAACGAGGAAGGGAAAGGAGGGAAGGGGGCCCGCTCGACTGGGGGTGCGGGATACCAGAATGAAAGGAAAGGCCGCTTCTGCCGGTGACCTTGTCGCCTTGCCTAGTCTGTCAGCGTTGGGCTTCCATTGTGGGCCTCAGGAAGATAATCTCGTCTTGAGAGCGAAATGGAAGGGGTGCTTATTGGCGAATTCCACAGGTCGTTTTGGAGCACGCCGTGATCGACTTTTCTGGAGCGAGCCTATTTCACTTGGGCGATCGGGATGGAGACGGACGTGTTCCACTGCTCGTTTTGGATTAGCTCCCGCTCCAGATCTCGTTCTGCATCCGAGAAAAGTCGCTCCGACGATTTCGGCGGATTCAACCGGAAGCCAGCCGGGCCAGCCCTCGGCGCACACACGTGACTTCCTTTCTCGCGGGGCATCTCGCCGGATCTCGCCCATCTCGCTCGCCTCAGAAGAATTCGTAATGGCCGCTCGGGAGGTGCGGCCTGTACCGCCCGCCTTACTGCTGCTGCTGCTTGACGACAGTTCGTCGTCAAGTTGCTCGAGCAGCTCCTTCAGCAGCAGCGGCTCGAGTAGCAGCGACGACGAGGATGGCTTGTATGTAGAGCATGAGTTCGACTGTCTTTTCGCACCCCCGCTTAAGAGGCCGAAAATTGAGGCCTACCTGGACACTGTTCACGAGTATTCGGATGAAGAGGTAAGTGGGCTACGCTGATACACATCGCTCATCGACAGGTGTCTTTGACGTCTTAATTAACTTACAGCATAGTTTGCGTTCAGTTTCGCAGGAACTTCAGACTCATGCGGCCGATCGCGTACAAGCTGATTGACAACTTTGGAGCCTCGCCTATGTTCCCACCTGCGACCCACGGAGGATTGCCAGCGAAGACGCCCGAAGAGCATGTGCTGTCGTTCCTCTGGTATGATTACTTTATGTCTTCGTTAAATAATTCGACAGTAAAGCAGAGATTGTTAGTCCGAATGCTCAGTCTGGTTTTGTTAGTTCCCGTGTTTAGACGTTCATGACTCAAGTTGGACTTAAACGCTGAGCTGTTTGAAGAATACCATCAAGTGTATTAATGACATTCATTTCACTTGGAATTTGCATAAAATTAGCGATCGCGCGACTAAAACATTTTACCAAGTGCACAAACATGCAGCTGCTGAACAACTTCCAGGAAGGTGAATTAGTTGCATTTTATTTCTCTTACCAGAGGGAGGCGTTTCCATTGAGATACTCCTAATGGTTCTAAATGGGGTATCCCGGTTTGCTGTTTTGTTTTCAGAAGCAATAGAGCAATATATTGTCAGAGAAAGAGAAGTGTTGAAAAGAAAGGAAGTAATTAAAAGCTGGACCCTTTCAGCCTGCTCGATATGGGAAATTTCATCTCAAATCGGGCAGAATAAAAAAGTCTGATTTTTAAATTTCACGAAAAAAATATATGTTTTGGGGGCATTTATCAAATAAATGAGGGCGCAAACCGCATGTTTCCCAGATTTATTGTTCTTCAGTTACGAAGCGTAGAAGCCGCAGTTGCAGAAAAGTTTTTGGCTGCCGTCGGAGGTCGCGTGTTTGACACCCTCTGCTGGCGCTATTGTTTTCTCTACACTCTTTTAACTTTTCCCCTTCATTTAATAGGTATTATACAGATACCTTGATGTATTCAAATAGTTTTAGGAATTTGATTGTTTTCTAAAAAAACATGTTAAACTCGTCACTCCGGTTGCTTTTCAGTCAAATTTGACAGGTCATTACTTTGTCTGTACTTAAGGTAAATTTTCTTTGTCTCTACAGAATTCCCAAAGCAAGCCCATTATAGATATATTAATATCATTATTATCTGCCAAGTAGCCGCTCCGCTACTTTCACGTAAACGTTGTGAAAAATAACAAATGTTCCCACATTTCACGCGATTGCGGCTCAAACAGAGGACATACAACCAAAATATTACATTTCTAGGCTGTTTTTTCTTGTAGCCGACTAATATGTCTAAAAGAATTTAAAGAATAAAAATTTACAAAAATGGGGTTTTTGAGAAAATCGACCTCAAACTTTCAACATTTGTTATTTCTTACAACGTTTACGTGAAGGTAGCGGAGCGGCAGTCGACAATTTGCTTGGGACAGTGCAAGAAAGCAATTGGAGGGAGAATCATGTGAACATATGTAAATATATATTCATAAAAGCAGGCCTTTCTATGCTTTTACAATTCACTAACCCAGTTTCCAGTGGTCTGTCACTTATATACTCCACAGTTCAGTTGGTCATCACAAAATGTTTTTCTTTAGAATCAAGGTGGTGGAAATGCTGTCCCTCCGTGACTGTGCATAAACCATGGGTAGACGTTCAGCTAGCTTGATGGGAGCTTCTTGGGTACTGCAGCATAGCCAGCTGCCTGTGAGCACGCCTTGGTGCATAGCTGAGGACGTAACATCCTTTCCGAGAAAAAGGCTTCCTCTAGTCCGCCCCGCGCTCGTCCACTTCATCTTCCTTCAAAATCCGTCATATGGAGATGGTGAGCCATTTTGAAAGCTCGGCAGACATATAGTGTCTTTGGCCTTAAGGCTGGACGAAAGGTTTACGGGCGGTGGAGCATAGCCAACCTCCGGTGAGCTCGTCTTGGGGCACAGCCGAGTTGAAAGGGTCATTTTTGAGAGAAACGTATTTCACTAGACTCTGCTGCCCTCATCTACTTTCTTTTCGCCTTCTTGTTTACGAATGGCTCGTCTCAGTCTATATTTTTTTATAGGCTGCTGGGGAAAGGACCCAATACAGCGAAGCTGTATTGGGTCCTTTCCCCAGCAGCTGGTCGATCTGGTGCGGTCTCTTGCTGCTCTCAGGTACACAGCTCATCCCTCCTTCCTCCGGTGCTGGCCGGAAGAGAGAGAGAGAGCTTTGCACACGGGCACGTTAGAAATACAGGCTTGCAAGTATGTCCTCAGGGCATCACCAGGTTCTTGTTCAATTGAGGTTCCCATAGCCATAATCAGATTACGACGCCTTGCTGATTATGGTCGTGCCCAAGCACACCTCAGGTAAGCAAGATGGCAGCGCCCTGAGTCCGTACTTGCAAAACTTGTATAGGCCCTGCTTGCAGAGCCACATTATAGCATTGCTTTTCCTTTTGCTGCTAACTCTGCATTAGCAGGGAAAGGGTCACATGCGCGAATTTGCTCCAAAGTTATGAGAACAAGCGGTCTTGCCGAACGGCTAGTTTTCGGCGGAACGCACTTTGCGCATGGCTAGGCTGTGAATATTTCAGACTAATTTGTTTGTCATCAGTCAAATTCATGCAATGCCTGCCTCATGCTGTGCAGTCAATATAAATGTTTGTGTACTCTGTTCTGTCTATACAGGTACGCAGCCAACAGATCCTGCATTCGGGATGCCGCTGGCCGCTTCAACGTCGCAGAGAGCTCCCTACATCGAATGAGGAGGCGGGTAGTGAACTTCATCCTGAGCATTGGTCCGCAAATAGTGAAGTTCCCCAGTGACCTTCAACAAATGGCAGAAGACTTCCAGAAGGTTAGAGTTGTCATTTTTTTTATGCTACTTGTAGTTGTTCACTTTTCGAGGATACAAACTGTCCTACTTTGAACAGCCCACGTAACTCACACTCCTTGCGTTGGTTTATTGCCACGTGGTTTATATAATAAATTTAGAGGAAAAGGTCTTCCATCATTTCATGCAATTCAGCCCCCTGAGAATGGCGGGACATACAGACCATCATTTGTGATCCCGGAGGGGCATGCCTTGCCGCCTGCACTTCCGACTTCACAACAGTCATTTATTTACATGCTTTATCATATAGGAGACCTCAGTTGTGTATTCCAAGGGGCATATGAATGAACTGAACACAACCAGGTAGGTTGTTTTTACAGGTTCACATACACCGAGGAGGAGCTGCGGTTGACATTACAAGCCATGGCGACGGTCTGCATGCACCACGATTACACACACTTATCAGATCTTCACTTTTCTGCATTAAGCTAGTCGGGTCTGCAAAGTCGAAGCTTTGGCTTATTGTCGAGCAGTGGTAAACGAGTTTGGTCTTTATTTTACGTCGTGTGTTTTAAAACGTCCATGCTGGTTCATTGAAGACGCATGATCTCAAATGCATTGAGGTGCACGTGATAAGAAAACCAGCTTTGCATCACTGTCTGTAGCAATTCCATTTATAAAAAAGTGTTTCCAAGCCTATTGGCCAGGCTAGACTCTCATTGAACATTACAGCTAATTTTAAACCACTGCACCACTCTGGGATTCCCAGACTTCTAGTGGTGTCTTGTACAAGATAAATCGTCAGGGCACAGAGGTGGACGGTCTCGCCTATAGGTGGTTTCACGTTTTGCCATTTTACTTCTAATGCATAGATTTCAACACGGTGGAAGAGTAGAGGAGGTGTCTGGCACAGCGCCGACTCGCAACAGAGCGAGCGTGGTAAAAATGTGCTCGCATGTCCTCCGCACACCGTTAGATGGCGCAGCAGTTTTCGGGTGGCGTAAGCTACCGCCCGATCCAAAGGGCTCAGCCGTATTCATCCATCCATCCATCCATCCATCCGTATGGGGCAGCGGCACCGAAGGGCCAGTCGGAGAAGTTTGCCTGGGTACGGGCCAGCTCACGGCTTAGAGGCTGGCTCGACTAGCAGATCGGGCTTGGACTTCAGAACCACAATTATGAAAGGCGCAGGCCGGGCTGGGTTTTGCATTCATGGCTTCAAGGCAGCCCTGGTATTGTACGAACATCTCAAAAAGCTGTTCCAGGACTACAGTAACAAAACAAATGTGTTGTGCTAGTTTTTAGTTTTTTTTTTTTATTCTGTTATTTAGGATGCTACGTTTACGGGCAGGAGACATTTCAAAAGCGTGTGTGTCGTCGAGCGGCGTGGTGGTCATTTTCGTTGCCTCCGGTGCCGCATTGTGTAGCCAAAGCTTCTCTCTCGTGAACATATGCGGATGCACAATTGTTGTTGTTGTTGTTGTTTACGGGTTTTATGGCGCAAGAGCTCCGATGGCCATACTGCGCCAAACTAGGTAAGCTGAAAAACACTGGTAAAAGTACATTCACTAGACTAGAATTTGGCTATAATTTATGTAAGATACCTGTAGTTTTGAGGAAAGCTAAAAGACGTTCAAGTGATATGAGAGGCTGCTCCCCTAGAAATAAGACAGGGTGAAATGGGATGTTGTACTTGAAAAACTCAGAGAAATAGATCTTGTACTGTTGTAAAAGGCCACGGCAAAGAGAGAGAACATGCAGAACAGATAAAGCTTCCCCACAGTGCTCGCATATCGGCGGTTCCTCACCTATAAGCAGGTATTGATGGGTTAGGAATGAATGGCCGATTCTCAGCCGGCACAGGAGGACTTCGTGGAAACGATTTTTATTATACGAGGTTTCCCATACACCAAGTTCTGGCTTGATGACATGAAGCTTATTGTTATCGGCTAACTTCCATTCAGATTGCCAAAGTTGCGAGAGTGAAAATTTTACGGACGCTTTAAGGTCTTGGTAAGGTATGCAGACATTCGATGGTAAAAGGTTCTGTGAAGAAGCAGCTAGTCTATCTGCAGCCTCGTTGCCTGCGATGCCCACATGGCTCGGGACCCAGCAAAACTCAATGTCCTTCCCACCAGCGAGTCTCTGTTGAGCTCTGGCCCGTACAAGTCGAGTCAACTTATTCGTAGTTGGTGTGATAGAACATACTGCAGTAAGAACACTTTGAGAGTCTACAAATATAATGGCTTTCATCACTTTGTTCCTGATTATATAGTCAAGTGCTGCCAGAACACCATATAGTTCGGCAGTAAAAATGCTGGCGACATTGTGAAGTCGAGTAACATGGGTAAACGAATTTGAATAAACAGCTGAGCCGACATACATTAAGGACTTGGCACCGTCAGTATAAAACTGGCGGTAATGTCTGTATTTTTCTTGCAGAGCTAAGAATTCCTGTTGTAGAATGAGTGGAGAAACATTATGTTTATTAAATTTTGTAAGATACCAATTGCAAGCTATTTGTTTCATATCCCATGGGGCAGTATGATGTGCACTTTCTAGGAAATGGACACCCTCACGTGGCAGGTTAAGGGAGAGACGGAGACTCTCAAAACGAAGGCTCAAGGGTCGAATAACAGTTGGTTTATGCTCGAAAGTACGATAAAACTTAGACTCTCGAATACTATTGTGGGCTGGATGGCTGGGTTCTGATAACACCTTGTAGGCATAAACCAGACTTAGATACTGCCGCCTTTTTTCCAATGACATTTCATTGGAGTCAGCATACAAGCTTAAAATAGGAGATGTTCTGAAAGCACCCGTCGCAAGACGCAACCCAAGGTGATGCACAGGGTCAAGCATTTTTAAGGCAGACGGCCGAGCAGACGCGAACACAACAGACCCATAATCAAGGCGCGATCGTACAAGAGAGAAGTACAAACGAAGTAGACACCTCCTATCAGAACCCCAAGACTTGTGTGAGAGGACTTTAAGAATGTTCAATGTCTGCATACATTTCTGCTTTAGCCATTTGAGATGGGAGACAAAACTAAGCTTACTGTCAAATATCACCCCCAGAAACCTATGCTCAGTTCTAACTTCGATGGCATTTCCATTTAATATGAGAGTGGGCTCCAACCTTAGCCCCCGCCGCAAAGAAAAGGGGACACAAATAGTTTTTTCTGGAGTGAACTTAAAGCCATTCTCGTTAGCCCATTTAGTCATTTTATTTATGGCTAGTTGTAGCTGCCTTTCACAACTAGACATATTACATGATGCTACAGAAATTTGAATGTCATCTACGTATAATGAATATGATACTGAGGAAGGCATGACACGACAAAAAGAGTTAATTTTTATGGCGAAGAGGGTGACACTCAGCACTCCACCCTGAGGAACACCATTCTCCTGGAGAAAGCTGTTGGATACTGTCGTGCCTAGCCGTACACGGAAGAAACGTCCACTAAGATAGTTTTTTATACAATGAAGTAATCTGCCGCGTACTCCATACATGAACAAGTCACGCAGGATGCCATGTCTCCAAGTGGTATCGTAAGCTTTTCTAAATCAAAAAAGACAGATACGCAATGCTGCCTATTCACAAACGCCTCACGTACAACAGTCTCCAGCCGGACTAGATGGTCTATGGTGGAACGTCCTGATCGGCACCCACATTGATTTACATCCAAAACATTGTGTTGCTCCAGGAAATAAACAAGACGCTTATTAATCATCCTTTCAAACGTTTTCCCTAAGCAACTAGTCAGTGCAATCGGCCTGTAACTTGTAGGAAGTGAAAGATCTTTTCCAGGCTTCAGCAGCGGAATTACTTCTGCCTGCTTCCAATCGGCGGGGAAGTGTGCATCGTTCCATAGTTTATTGAAATATGTCAGGAGGGCTGTGAGTGACTCCTCCGATAAATGCCGGATCATCTCATAATGTATCCGATCAGGACCGGGCGATGAACGCTTCCGGATTTCGAGAGCCATTTGAAGCTCAACCATTGTAAATGGCTGATTATATGGTGCAGACGCACCTCCTGCCAAGCTGACTTTCATTCTTTCTGCGTCTGCTTTAAACTTCAGAAACGCTGGAGAGTAGTGAGAGGAGTTTGAAACGGCTGCAAAATGTGCGCCCAACACGTTTGCCTGGTCATGTAGCGAGCTTACAGAGGGAAATAGAGGGACTGTAAAGCAGCGGTATTTGCCTTCGACCTTGTGCAGTCGGTCCCACACTTCCTTTCCTGGGACGTAGCAGCTGATAGAGGACAGATAGCCTCTCCAGGACTTCCTCTTGGCCTGCTTCCTGGTCCAACGAGCTTGGGCCCTATTTCGCTGAAGCTCTAGTAAATTCATGAATGTCGGATATCTGCGAAATATACCCCATGCCTTGTCCTGTTTTTTCTTAGTATTAGAACAATCTTCATTCCACCACGGTTTACACTTTTTGGGGATGTTAGAGGAGGTTTGAGGGATGGAGCGAAAAGCGGCATTAATGATCTGTTCTGTAATGTAAGTGGTGGCTTCATCGTGTGTTAAGGACAAGAACATGCAAGGCTTAAGCTCTGCATTTAGGTTGAACAGACCCCAGTCTGCCTTGTCAAGTTTCCAACGAGGGGTACGTTTCATTAGGCTTGGAACAGAAACCAGACTCTCCAGAATGACTGGAAAGTGGTCACTTCCAAAAAGGATTATCTAATACTTTCCATGTAAATAAAGAAAACAATGAAGGTGATGAGATAGCAAGATCGATAGATGTAAATGAATTGTGAGCTGCACCGAAAAAGGTTGGTTTTCTATTATTCATAAGGCAGAGCCCAGATGTTAATAAAAACCGCTCAAGGACCCCACCACGTGAGTCTTGACGGGCACTACCCCACAAGGGGTGGTGAGCGTTAAAATCTCCTAAAAGTAAAAAGGGATGAGGAAGCTGTGCGACAAGTCTTTGGAGATCATGAAGATGCAGCGGAGTGTTTGGTGGAATATAAATGGAGACAACAGTGATGAGGCGGTCCAAAAGAAGGCGCACAGCCACTGCTTCAAGAGGTGTGGAAAAAGGAACCTGCGAGCATGCGACTCCACTTTGAACAGCCACAGCTACTCCACCTGATGCATTTGATGCAGGGCGATCCTTTCTAAAAAACTGATGGCGACGTAACACTGAATTATGATCATTAAGATGCGTCTCTTCTAACGAGAGAGCAATAGGACGTAATTCGTCCATACAAAAATTAATGTCATCAATATTTCGTAAAAGACCGCGGCAGTTCCACTGCATAAAAGTAAATTTAACCATTATTCGAAAACAAAGTTAAAAAACTTAGTAAATCAGTAAAAATAGTAAAGACCAAGTAAAAATAAAACCTCGACTATGCCGCGCAGGGCAAAAGGAATGTACAATGTCACTTTGGAGGGGTTACTGGTTTTTTGCCCTTATGCTTAGATTTAGCTACCTGCCAGTCCATGTCGTCCTGATCAGACGCAGGCGCAGACACCTCACTGCAATCATCCATTGCCTCCGCCTCTTGGGACGGGGCTTTGGGTGGGGCTTTGGGCACGCTTGGGGCACGGGGTTGCAGGCCCCGGCCACGACCTGACCCAGCAGAAGAGGCAGCAGGTGTGTTGGGCAAAGCACTGCCCGAATCCACCCGTTCCTGCCCCTTTGTCACTGTAGGAGCGACACAAGAGCCATGCCGCTCCTTGGAAGACGACGCTCTCTCCGACGAGTGCGGCCGAGACGAGCCCCTGTACCGAGTTTCGAGATTTGTACTGCGGTGCACAACGGCCATGTGTCAGTTCTGTCGTGAAAATGTTTTGCTGTTCTAGCGCCTAATGATGAGGAATGCCTGCGCATCCGACAACATGCTATTGTGATTAGATCGTGTTTTTTATGCGTCAAACTAGGTCTGTGAGGCAGTTTGCGCCTCTTCTTGTTTCTAAAACATGGACGGCGCCATACAGTGTTAAGATCCTTGCGCACATCTTCATTTGAGCGCGTTGCGTAGCGGCAACCGGATGCGTTGCGTTGCGAAGAGCGCTTGCGCAAAGCTTGTACGCACAGTTGCGTTAACATCCAGTCAAGAGCCAATAAGAGCGCGCTATCGTCGCTAGCGACTCACCAATAGTAAGCGAAATCCCCGGCAACATGGCGCGTCCAGCGCCAGCGTCCAAGTGTTCGATCTTGAGGCAATCCCGCTGGCTTCCCCGACATTTTATCAAACTTGAACCATCGCAGCCTTGGAAAAAGCGTCGTTACCTCTCCCCAAAACAAAAAAAGCTAGTTCTGCGAGCGGAGAATCGGATACGCCTCATCGAGTGGCGCGAGCGAACACGTGATTTTACTTTCCTCTCTCGGCTTCTGATTAGTCGAACGCACAGCAACACTTCAAAGAGTTGAGCGAGTCTCCACTCTCTTGCGTTGCGCTACTGAGTGTTGTGGGAAGACGCTCGTTGTATCGCAAGCGAGCGCTCTTGGCCTCAAGGACACCGCAACGCACTCAAATGCGAATGTGAGTATGTGCCTTAAATGTCCTGATGAAGGCTTTTTTGTTTGAAATAAATGATAAAAAAGTATTATTAGTTATGTGTTCAAAGTGTAGATATCGGGAATCAGTAACTTTGTACACTGTTATATTTACCGCCGCCAGGGCCCAGACGTTTTGTTATTCAGGTGTTTGACTAAATTGGCTTTTATTGCCAACCATGGCCTCCCCAAAGTGTATGTAAACCTACTGAAATAGTTTCTGGTTGCCATTCGGTTTTATTGGTGTCCCTGTTGGCATGTGCCGATGGTGGTGCCTGTACGACAGATAAAACATATGTTTAAGCTGTTGTTATGGTTGTGCAAGGTTTAAATAGCTTGCTTTGTAATTTTTGAGGCTACTGGCTAATAACAATGCCACGCTTCTGTTATGTTCCACTGTGCGAAAAACTGGCAGAAGTGCACCTGTGTTGTTAACAATCTTGATTGGAAAAAAGTTTTACTGTATGAATACTAGTAAAACTGTCATTTACTGCAGGTCTCTGGAGTTCCAGGCACCGTAGGATGCATCGACGGTTCCTATATCGCCACTCGCGCCCCTGCTAAGAAGATCCGGTCCACCTACGTCAACCGGCGCCACTTGCCATCTTTTACACTGCAGGCGGTTTGCGACCATCGTAAGAGATTTGTAGACGTGTCCACCGGCCACCCTAGCAAAGTACACGATGGGAGGGTGTTCCGCACGTCGAGCATCGCTGCAAAGCTCCCTCAGATATGCAGCATCGACAAGTGCCACATACTTGGCGACGCTGCATATCCCATCAGGGAGTATTTGCTGACGCCATACAGAAACTACAGGAAGCAAACCAGGAAGGAACGCATTTTCAATGCAAAGTTTTCAGGAACACGAGTTCTGATTGAAAATGCGTTCGCTGACTTGAAGAATCGCTTTAGGCGTTTGAAACAGCTAGAGTTCTGGGGTGTTGACTTTTTAACGAAGATTATTTTTGCATGTTGTGTTCTCGACAATCTTTGTATTGATGGTGGCGACGACACTATGGGGGAGGACGAAGACGACAGCGCACCACCAGTCCGCAGAGTGCCAGACGAAGATGATGATTTTCCCAATGAAGCTGGCTTGCGAAAGCGTAGCGAGCAGAAGCGAAGGGCGGTGCTTGCGCAGATGGGCATCCAGTAATTTTTATTTCCTTTCCTTCATTAGCTGCAGCTAACCATTTCAATTTCTTTAGAGAATAGGATGAGGATTACTGTAAACGACGAAATTTTCGCGAGGACCTAAAAATACGTCCCGCGAACAATTCGGGCAATATGTAAACGCTACGGAAGCTACACTCGATTCGCGAAAATTAGAACCCGCGAGTAATTTCAAATTTTCAGCTTCGGCGCGATTCGCGAAAACTACGTCGTTTACAGTATACCCCGTCTCGACATAACTTGGTAACCAGTAGATGCTATGACTTCTGCAAGCGAATTGGGGTAAGGCACTTGTCTATACATACCGTCAAAGTGTGGTCCTCAATGCTGAACTGAAATTGGTTTTGCTTTGTGCTCAATTGACTCATGAAGGTTGTGCGTAGCATTTACCGTTTACCAAGTTACGCTGAAAAAGTTCTGTCAAGGGTTTTTAATGCATATTGCTGAATATCAAAGGAAAATCGATCTGTTGTTCTATAATTGTTTACATCATTATGCGTTTTTTAATACTTTCAGAGTCTTTTCGTGCCCAGCCTTGCATGGAGAGCTGTAACTTTGTAAATGATGTTGCTTGATGTTTATTTCAGAGACACATTAAACTATGAAATTGTATGATGGGTGATTTTTATTCACTGAGGTCCATTTGTCTGCCTTGCTGAAACTTATTGTTCTCAACTGTTGGTGATGTTGAGTGCCTGGGAAAGAAGGCGCATCTTTTCCGCATGCATTTCCTGTCGCTCTTTGTGCCTCTCCGCATTTGCCCTCTTTCTTTCTTCCCGCCTCTCTTCCTTTTTCTCCTCTCTTTCTGCACGTCTTCTGGCCTTCGCTTCCTCCACTTGCTCCAGCCTCTCAAAAAATTGCTGCATGTGCAGCACTTTCGGGCTACTGGGTCTTGATCCCCTGTCCTTTGCTGGTGCTGTGTCCTTGCTGCTGGCTGCTGCGGCTCCAGCCACGGCTCTTGGTGGGCTGTTCCCGGCTGCTGCTATTGCAGCTGTCCCGCAGGGGCTGCTGGACATTGCCGAAGTGAATAGGCGACAGCATGAGCCCTTCTTGTAGGTTGCCCCATGGATGTCTCTCAAGACTTCGGGCTCAATGCCGTCGTCCATCATTCTGATTCTGTCCAGCTACCCCTCATAGGGGTAGCTGGACAGAATGTGGTGATTCTCCTGATTTATTGTTATGGCAAACTGCCTGCCTTTTTCGTTTCTGAACAGTTTTAAAACGAGTAGTGCATTGGTCAGGTGTCTTTACTGAGCCAAGTTTTTCTAGTAGAACTGCTGAATTTTTTATGAATACTGGTTTTTTAGTTTTAAATTTCTTGAGAAGTCCATGCTGAGGCAGGTACTTTTCATAGAAATCGAGCAGGAGCTTTGTCTCTCCGTCGCTCCACTCGCAAGCTGAAAAAGAGAAACATGTTAGAAATGTAAAGAGGGAGTAACAGTTTACACACTTGGGCTCTAGATTTTATTTTGTTTACCTTTCAAGAAAGGGAAATACATCATTTCTCGGCATGATCGACCAGATTTTAAAAGCGCTTTGCCTATCTCCCAAAATCCTTTCGTGTTCCCTCTGCAACTTTTTGGGTAAAACTGCAAGCTACGAATGCACCACTTTCCCCATTTCCTCGTCAGACGTGGTAATCGCGCGATGGGGCGACATCGGGACTATAGAGACGATACTCCAACTCCTCATCCTCACAAAGGTTTCGGAAGATTTCGACTGTTTTGGTAGAAGTGGGCAGATTCAAAATGTCACGCAACAACACTATGAGCTTGAGTAGCAGTTTTCTGACAATCCCAGAAAGCTGTAAGCATACATTTTCTTGCCGATCGTTGACTTCCGAACTTTTTCTTGATCATAGGCAGGCATCCGCCAATAAATATCTCTTAAAGTAAGCTCTATGAACACCGAGATTGATGTCTCATGAAGAGGTGAAAACAGTTAATGGCACTCAAAGAAGCCTCTGAAGTTAAGTACCTTGGGGTAACAATTACGACCATTTTGAACTGGAATGCACATGTTGCCAATGTTTCGGCTGCTGCGAGACGAGCGTTGTGGTCCCTAAGGCGCAAACTTCCACTGGCACCCTCCAGTGTCAAGCTCTGTGCCCATAAGACTTTAGTTAGGCCAGTTTTAGAATACGCGTGCGTAGTCTGGGACCCGTGTACACAAAAAGCAATAGACGAATTAGAGAAAGTTCAATGGCTAGCTGCGCGATTCATATGCGATAGGTACCGCCGCTTAGACAGCCCATCAGAAATGTTGAAATCACTTGATTGGAGTCTTTGAGATCGCGCCGGACAAATTTCAGATTGAAGTTTTTGTACCTAATCAAGAATAATAACTTTAATTTAGATTCATCACCTTACATAAAGCACGTCACACGCCGAAATACACGCTTTAATCATAGAAGTCTTTTAGAGCCATATCAAAGGGCAAACAGTATTTTTAAAAATTAGATTTTCCCAAGGACCATAATAGAATGGAATCGCTTAGAAAAAGACACTGTTCATAGCCGTACCCCTGATGTATTTTTTTCGAGATTGCGATGGATATATTCTATTTAGTATCAGTGTTGTGTTGAAGAACGCGTGCGTTTGCGTCTCTGCAATCCCTTCCACTTTCTTTTCCCCCCACTCCTGCCTGGGCCCCAACGGGGCCCGCAGTATTCTGAAATAAAAATAAATAAATAAACAGCAGTGCATTCGTAACTAATAGTTTTAAAGAACTTTGAAGGGAATACAAAATTGTTTTACACATTTGTTTAAAAGCTTATTAATTGTGTAGAAGAATTAGGTAATTGCCTTTTTTTAAGCTACTTAAAATTATGCTACAGCCAGAGTGCTGACAATATTTTACTACCCCTTGCATTTGATATCTGTATAAAGCTAGGCTCTTTTAATAGACATGTGTTGAGTAGTTCCGGGCAAGCTGGCGAGCATTGCGCATCAATAACATGCAATACCCGCCATATTAGTGAAAGTGATATGTAGTAGTGACATGATTCATTCTAGTGTGATGTAGCTAGCTTATGGAGATTACAAAAAAAGGTTCTTTCAAATTTATGTATGGCACTTCTGAGCGCCAGTGCAGCATGCACTCCAAATCCAGACTCACAACCGCTTTGCTGCCGCAGCTAAGCAGATGACATCTACATCCCAGGAGCACTTGAGTGGATTTGGGTGCATTTATTATAATTGAAAGAAAATTTGTACCAGAAGCACTTTTCTGAGAAATAAACTTCCGAGGAAAACACGGTATGAAATATACTGGTCATCTAGATTTCTACCATATTCGCGGCCGAACATTTTCGACTTTATTTTGTCTTGATATCACTTACCACCAGCACCTTTGCCTTTTCCTCTGCTCCCACATCTGGTCTGAAGGTTCTGCATGGCCTAATATGCGTCTGATTGGGATACTACAGAAAAACTATCATTTCAACTACAACAATAAACAATAATTTAAACAAATTTTAAGCTACTACTGCTGCAACTATTAGCATCTTCCCCGCCTGCCGAAAGGCGGAACGTTGTAGGAGCGTAGAAAACGACACCGGATAACAGCCCACAGGAGCGTCAATGACCGGTGGGTAAATCAGCAATAGTGTCAGGGCTACAGCTTCCCGATAAATATCTCCTTACCGCTCCGATTGGTCTCTCCGTAGCCAGCGCTCCCGCTAGCGATAGCTTCTTCTGTGAGATCTAACAACCACGGCAGTTGCGATGGTCTGCAACAAAGATAGGCTTGAGAATGGCTCCAAAAAGCCTTCGTTCCGTGACAGAACAAGCCACATGAAACGAAGCAGAGTAATAAAACCGGTGCTTGCTTACCACTTGGCTCGAAAGCCGCTTCGTTTTCCCGGAAGGAAAAGAGAAGGTTTTGCCGCGCTGCGGGCATTCCGATAATCTTTGCTAGGAGCTCCTGCGCCATCCCTGCCGCTCGTGCGTCGAACACGTGTTTGCGCCGCGATTGTGAAAACGTCTTCGAAACGACCGCAGCGATCGCGAAAAGGAGATTCCCGGGCAGGTGAATGACGGGAAGGCATCCGCCGATCCCGGAGCAATGGTCATGTTCCCCTGGGGATCGTAGACGGCGCGACCCCGTTCGGATCGTGTGCTCCATTCCGGATCTGGTCAACTGAACCCGGCGCGCTCCAAAACGCCCAGTGGAATTCGCTTTATGTTTTGCGGGCTTGTCGCCATCCAATATGCCTCAGTTATTTCTCTCCCGACTCGCTCGCAGTGGCCTCCCATGGCTGTCGTGCCGGCGAAATTAGGAGCGCAGCCGGGACATTTTTTCCCGTGAATGACGAACGGGTGCTGAGAATCCGAAGCAGCTCTTTCGGCGTTCATTTGATGTTCTCGGAGTCTGTCGTTGAGGCATCGCCCCGTTTCCCCGATGTACCTTGCCCCGCAGGACAGGGGGATTGCGTACACTTCCTCCGTTATGCGCGCGGCGAACTTGCTTGCGTGTTTTTTGGTGCAGCTGGGTTGTGGGGGTTCCTCTGTTGACGGCCCTACACATGTCGCCGAGTCTCGATTTGCACGTGAAAAGCACTTCTGTCTCGTATTTTGAGGCGAGAGCTTTTAGACGGGAGGCCAGCCTAAGCCAACAGTGCGCACGGCTTCGGAGGGCAGGCTACCCTGCAGATTTGTTTTTGGCTGCCTCGCGAAAATTGGCTACAAACCCACAGGCCAGGCCAACCGCCGAGACTTCACCCGTCACCAGAAGACCAGCCTGTATTCCATACATCCACGCAACATCTCACCGCCTAAAAGCTCTCGCGTCAAAATACGACTCAAAAGTGGTATTCACATGCAAATCGATACTCGGCGACATGTGTGGGGCCGTCAACAGAGAGGGACCCATACAACCCAGCTGCACAAAAAAACACGTAAGCAAGTTTACCGCCTGCTGCATGACGGAGAACGTGTGAGCGATCCCCCTGTCCTGCGGGACCAGATAGATCCGGCAAAGGAG